TGCCTGTCAGCAGGGCAAGAGTCATCAGCTTGCGTTTTCAGAGTCTAGTCGTGTTGTGAAACATCCTCTTGAGCTTGTATTTTCTGATGTATGGGGCCATGCCCAGACATCTGTTAGTGGTCACAATTATTATGTCAGTTTCATTGATGCTTACAGCCGTTTCACTTGGTTATATCTTATTAAGCATAAGTCTGATGTGTTTGATGTCTTCGTTCAGTTTCAAGCGCATATTGAGCGTCTTCTTAAGAAGAAAATTATCCATGTCCAATCCGACTGGGGGGGGGGGTGAATACCACAACCTCAACTCGTTCTTTAACAAGCTTGGGATTTCGCACCGCGTGTCATGCCCCCACACACATCAGCAGAATGGTGCTGCCGAGCGTAAGCATCGTCATCTTGTTGAAACTGGCTTAACCTTGCTAGCTCATGCGTCTGTCCCATTTCGGTTCTGGAGTGATGCTTTCTCTACAGCTTGTTTTCTTATAAACAGGCTTCCCTCGAGGCTCCTGAAAATGCAAACCCCGCTTGAGCTCCTGCTTAATGAGATTCCGGACTACACTTTCTTCAAAGTGTTTGGGTGTGCATGTTGGCCTCACCTCCGTCCATACAACAAGCGCAAGCTAGAGTTTAGGTCTAAGAAGTGTGTCTTTCTTGGGTACAGTTCTCTTCACAAAGGGTACAAGTGCTTACATGTTCCTACCAACCGCGTCTACATCTCTCGTGACGTTGTGTTTGACGAAAATGTATTTCCTTTTCGTGCACTTTCGACTGACCTTACCACTTCCACTTCCACACCACCAGTGCCTGTGACTACACCTATGCCTGATCAGTTTGTGGATGTTGCATATGCCCCTGCGTTGCTCCCTAATCATGCTGCAGGTACTGGACGCGGTGCTCGGCTCGAGCTGCTTGATGAACAGGTCGTGGATGATCCTCCTGGTCGGGACGTACATGTGCCATGCATGACGGGCGGCACCCGCCAACCCGTTCTCCTGTCGCCTGAGGCGGCCACCCCGACTGCCTCTCGGGTGCCGGGTCCGTCTGGCTCCATGCTGGACCTGCCCACGCCAGCGCCAGCAGCCTCCTCTTGCTCGCGGACTCTGCCTGCACCAGTGGCTGCCTCGCCCGGCTCACGGGCCACGTCCACACCAGAGGCCGTCTCGCCCGGCTCGCCTGGCTCGCGGGCATCGCCAGTCCTGCGTGGCTTGCCCGGGCCACTGGCGGGTGCGTCTCCTGGGCCGGCTGCTGCTGCCGCTAGCCCGACGGCCCCGTCGCCTGCTTCGGCCACTGATGAGCCCGACTCGCCGGACTCGGCTCCGGTCTCGTCCACGTCCTCTGCTGCACCATCTTTGCCGGCAGATTCTGCTGTCACACTTCGGTCGCGCACACAGAGCCAGTCCGGTGTTTTTCGCCCGAAGAAGTGGACAGATGGCACGGTTGCGTGGCTTGCTGCATGCATGGCTCACACTGCTGGCGATCCTGCTGCAGAGCCTCGTCACTTTCAGGCTGCGTTGAGTATTCCTCATTGGCGTGCTACAATGGAACAAGAGTTTCATGCCCTCCAACAGAATGATACTTGGCGTCTTGTTCCTCCAAAGTCTGGCGTAAACATCATTGATTCCAAGTGGGTTTTCAAAGTCAAGCGACATGTTGATGGCTCCATTGAACGTTACAAGGCACGGTTGGTCGCCAAGGGCTTCAAGCAGAGGTATGGTCTTGATTATGAAGACACGTTCAGTCCAGTCATCAAGCCTACTACCATTCGGTTACTACTGTCTCTTGCGGTTACTCGTGGATGGTTCCTTCGTCAGCTTGATGTGCAGAACACTTTTCTCCATGGCATTCTGGAGGAGGAGGTTTATATGCATCAGCCGCTTGGTTTTGTTGATCCGACACGACCTCACCATCTCTGTCGTCTGGTTAAGGCACTGTATGGACTCAAACAGGCTCCTCGTGCATGGCATGCTCGCCTTGGATCTGTTCTTCGGGCTCTTGGGTTTACTCCCTCCACTGTTGATACGTCACTGTTTCTCCTCCACCGCCCTGAGGTTACGATGTATATCTTGGTTTATGTTGATGATATCATCCTTGTCAGTTCCTCTGCTGCTGCTGCTGATCGCCTTGTGGTTGCTCTCCGTGATGATTTTGTTGTCAAGGATTTGGGTGCTCTTCACTTTTTCCTTGGTCTTGAGGTTTCGCGGTCCTTTGCTGGTTTGACTCTCACTCAGAAGAAGTACTCCTTGGACTTGTTGCGTCGTGCTGGAATGCTCAAATGCAAACCTGTCTCCACTCCGATGTCTGCTACTGATCGGTTGTCTGCCCTTGATGGTGACTCTCTCTCGTCTGATGATACTACTGAGTATCGCAGTATCGTTGGTGGTCTACAATATCTCATTATTACTAGGCCTGATATCTCCTATGCAGTTAACCGTGTCTGTCAGTTTTTGCATGCACCCAGGACGTCTCATTGGTCAGCTGTGAAGCGTATTTTGCACTATGTCAGTATTACTGCTGCCTATGGTCTGTATCTTCAGCCTGCACTGTCGTATGAGCTCTCGGCCTTCTCTGATGCCGACTGGGCTGGTAGTCCGGATGACAGGCGATCCACGGGGGGTTATGCGGTATTTCTAGGTCCTAACTTGATCGCCTGGAATGCTCGCAAGCAAGCAACTGTGTCTCGCAGTAGTACTGAGGCTGAATACAAAGCTGTTGCTGATGCAACTGCTGAGATCATATGGGTACAGTCTCTGTTGAGAGAGTTGCGTGTTCCTCAAGCTCGTCCTCCGGTCCTGTGGTGTGACAACATTGGTGCTACACATCTTTCTTCTAATCCAGTGTTTCATGCGAGGACAAAACACATTGAGGTGGATTATCACTTTGTTCGGGAACATGTTGCACAGAAGCTACTCTATATCAAGTTCATCTCATCAAAGGATCAACTTGCTGACATCTTCACGAAGCCTCTACCACAACCACAGTTTGTAGGCTGTAGGCGCAATCTTAACTTGCTCTGTACTTCAGGACATAGTTAAGATTGAGGGAGGGTGTTAGACTGTATATATGTAGCCTCTGTATATCTGTATTGTAACATTGTATTGTACCCCTTGGGTACCTCTATATAATGAGATAGCCACACCCCGGGTTAGGGGTGTCGTGCAGTTCCCAAAATACTTTGTTTTACAGGCTTAAGTTGCTTAGCGTCAAACCGCAAACCAATGGAGGCCAGATCACCAAGTGCGAAGAGGCCATGGTTAGCAAGATCCACGGGTTAAATGGTTGCCCGACAAGTTCACAAATTTAGGCCAGTAAAGGATGCAAGTGTTATCTAAAATGAATGGATGTAAAGCGTTTGTGTGTGGCTTTTCAAGTCTACCGTCAAATCCTAAGACACTTGCTTGAATTAGAGCAAAATAGGGATATGCAATGGCAATAGCTTTTCTTTCAATAGTTTTCCATAGTGACCATCGACAACCCGGGCTAAGCCACGGGTCAACACATCGTCCGATAGAAATAGAAGTCTTTGGATAGTGGATGTACAGTATCAACAGTTAGAACAAAGACCTACAAATATTTTTTCGTATGATTGTAGCCCCCTTTCAATATAAACAGCTTCCAACCACAAGCAAAATCCCAATAGACGTAGTCGTTGTCAAAAACGATTAACTTCCGACAACGTACGGAATCAAACGTATGCATAATTTGAGGTGAAGAAACATTTTAATTTTTTTTAAAGCACATCTTTTCTGAAACACTGGCTAACACAAGGTTACTGCCCTGCGAGGATATGAGATAAAAAATCAATTATTAATTCACTGAACTAGTTGTCGAACATGTTACATGTGCCACGAAGAGTGCATAAGTTAGAAGCTGCGCAAACTACGAACTACATCGCACGAGCCGACTTGCACTAAAAACATATGCTTAATGAATTCATCGCGGCGGCAAAATAAATGGCACTTACTATCATGTCAATCCGAGTGTGTAAGGTTGTCTATAGTCAAAACTACTCCATGGTTTCAAAGCCAGAAGAAGATCTTCACTCAAAGTGGTGGTAGTGGCGCTAGGCAGGACACACTAACGAGGCAAACAACAGAGCATCAGTGTTGAACAATGCTGATATATCTATAATGAACAAAGAAACTGCCATCACGCCCCAGGCCACGGGCCTTGCTGCCTAGGGCTTGACGCCACCACGAACTAAAAGTAACACATAGCTGGACACACATGACACCAAATTTGATCTCCCATTTTCTCCACTCAACTCGACCATGCCATGATTCTTGCAGTCTTCTAATATCTTAATTTCATCTTCAGTGGCTTTCGAAGCTACATCTATCTCGCACTATTTCCCCTTCAGCGTGCACCAGCTTCTCGTGTGTCAGATGGCCATCCATCATACGACACGTTCTAGCTCATTGAGGCACAACTTAGAAAATCGAGCAAATTATGGCTCAATTCTTTTGGCCGATTTTTTCAGAATCTTGAGAAACAGACAACCTCCTAAATAGCTAGGATTATTAAAAAAAAGTTCAAGATTCTGAGAAAAATCTAAGAGGAGGTTTGATTCTTAAGATTCTGTGAGAATTAGCCAAAATAAACTAGGCTCGTGCTTAAAAAATCTAGGCCTATGTTTCGCTCTTAACAAATTGTAGTATGATGAGAGTGGTTTCCCTTGTGGTAAGAAAGCACGGCTCTACTAAACACCCAAGAATAGAAAGAAATAAAATGAAATCTTGCAATGAGAATTGGACACGTAGATCAAACAGGGGCTAGGGCTTTGAAAAATGAAAACAGATGTTAAAGCTAGGGCGTGGCCCGCCGATCACCTCATATCCTAGTTGCAGTACATTTTCTACCATTTCTTTGCATCGTGAGTAACGTCGGCATTGGACTTCACCGTCACACTGCCCCACCCAATCTCCTTCCTGAACCTGCCTTTACACTTGTGTTTGTGTCCTACTTGGCCTTGCATGTGTTGGATCGAATCAGCAGCTCGTGATATGGGTGAGCGATCGAGCTTCGCGAAGCTACTTTCAATACGTGGCGGGCTGGCGGCCACCGCCGCGCGACGTGTCCCGTTGCTTCTGCCTATAAATGCCACCGGCTCCAATCTCCTTTCCAACACACACAAGCAGTCGATCGATTCATCCAAGCCAGAGTTGAGCAATACTAGCAGTGAGATTTACAGTGATTTCACTTCGTGTTTGTTGGTGAGAGAGAAGAGCAGAGAAGAGAAGATGGCCTCCAACCAGAACCAGGCGAGCTACGCGGCCGGCGAGACCAAGGCCCGCACTGAGGTAACCGTCGTCTCCTGTAGTGCTTACCATCTCATCCTGCTGCCGCGCGCATGCGCCGTTGCTTCCGGCGGTGATCTGAAATGCTCTCTTGGTTGTGCAGGAGAAGACCGGGCAGATGATGGACAAGGCGGGGCAGGCCACGGAGGCCACCAAGCAGAAGGCCGGAGAGGCCAAGGACAAGACGGCCCAGACGGCGCAGGCGGCCAAGGACCGCGCCGCCGAGAGCAAGGACCAGACCGGCAGCTTCCTCGGCGAGAAGACGGAGGCGGCCAAGCAGAAGGCCGCCGAGGCAACCGATGCGGCCAAGCAGAAGGCGTCGGAGACGGCCCAGTACGCGCAGGAGAGGTCCTCCGACGCGGCGCAGTACACCAAGGAGTCCGCCGTGGCCGGCAAGGACAAGACCGGCAGCGTGCTCCAGCAGGCCGGCGAGACGGTGGTGAGCGCCGTGGTGGGCGCCAAGGACGCCGTGGCGAACACGCTGGGCATGGGCGGCGACAACACCAACACCGCCAAGGACAGCACCACCGAGAAGATCACTAGGGATCACTAGACGCATACATGCGTCCAATCTTGCTAATTTGCTTCCTTTACTCGTTTGGTCGTTCGCGGGCCCTTTACATATTTGTATGTTTCCCTCTTTTGTGATTTCCGCTCATTTAGTGTAAGTTTGCCTTCGATTTGATGTACTACTCGTGTCCGGTTCTGTAATGAGTTACTTATAATCCATGTTTTACTTTGGTGTAAATGGATAACGAGGACAGTCGAAGGTGGCAATAAAGTTCTTTTAGCACGGCATATTTTTGAAGCTTCAGAAGCTTTCTTCACTTCCTATCTTTTTTTTTTGGAACGGGAAACGCGCTCAAGGCGCCAAATTACAATCAGCTCAGTATTGCGTGAATTACACATCCATGTAGATCTTGAAGAGACAACAGAGGAAGAACAGGGCAATGAGTGTGCCTAGGAGCTAAATTGGAACATCCGAAGACAGGTTGAACTGAACTGTTCAGAACCTGGTGAGCAACATTATGGGCAATGCCATTGAGACTCCTAGAAATGAGAGCTTTCTGAGATGGCAAAGAAATCTGCTAGTGATTGTCTGATAGCACAATGAATTTTCTCTGAAGTCACATCTCACATCCCTAGTTGCCGCAGCCGTCGCCAAAGTAAGATTATCTGTAAAATAATTGGGCTGATCGACATGAAGAAGTTTG